GTGATAAACAATATATACACGTGTTTTTCCTCAATAGTTTCATCACGTTTACTGTCTAAGGACAGTGCTAGCAAGCACTCTCTGCTTATGAGCAAAAAAATCTAAACAAAACAGGGGAAGTTTTAGGAGTGACGGCGAGAGAGAGAGAGCAGAAAAAGAGAGAGAGCGAGTTTTGAGATATGAGAGATTTTTGACGTTCAGCGTGTTTGGAGTGTGTATTTAATGTTTTGTCTTGTGTAGTTAGTGTGTAGTGTTGTGGATAATTTTGTGTTGTGTGTCAGAACAATGAGGTGACTGCTGTCTCCAGGTAGAAACAGGAGTGATACACCTGCTGCTGTCAGACCTGCAGGTATCAGGCTGTGATGTTCTCTTTTAGAGTGGACAGAAATGATTTTTTTGGAGTGGCACAAATAATTTGTGTGGCATCTTATTGAAGAACAGCTGATTGTTCTGTAAATAGTTTGAAATGGTTATTTTAAAAAAGGGGTAAAAAGTAAATGGCTGCAAATAACTTTGTTCTTTGCAAAACTTGTGCATAGAATTTTAAAATTGACAATTTATATTTCAAATAAATTTATAATGCAATAGTTACTTTTCAATTAATTACTTTTAGAATCTTGTAACTGTTACTAACTCTTGAAGAAGTAACTAGTAACCATTATTAATTACTTTTTCATAGTAACTTGCCCAACACTGTTCACTACTAAGAAGCATCAAATCTATAGTTGAACATGTTAATAGAGATAATACAACACATAGACTTCGTCAAACAAAGAGAACCAGGAATGAGGAAAACTGCAGTCCCAACAGTAATGCAACCTCACCTAAAAAAGTCTTGTTGATAGCTACGGTTGTATTAATTGGCAGCCAGTTGAACTTCCTGAGGGGGAAATGCCAGCTTCTTTAGAGGGAAAGAAACACATCCTGTTAACAATTTTTAATTCAGAAGGACCTGGAGCTGTGGAGAGACCTGATGTGGATGACTTCATGTGTCTCACATATATTTCTTAGTGGCAGCTTATCAACAGTTGTCCCTCACTTTCAGTAGCTGAAATTCAGGAGCAGTGGCCATTCTTGTTTACTCGGAAAGGTCTTTCGAACCACTTTCACAAACTCACAGGCATCGATATCAGTGAGCGCTTAGGTCAGGCCCTCATAACCAAAGGCAGAAGGATTATTAACTATTTCTCCAGCCAGAAGTTCAAATGGAACCTTGGTATAAGGTCACTCATCCAGCAGATAGAAAGTGAGGAGTTTTTACCAACAACAAGGTTGGCACAGCAGCCATACTTCTCATGATGAAGTATTACAAGGAAGATGAAGACTCCCTCTTTGTCTTAGCAGATGTAAGCTTTTTTTAAAACAACTCGAGGTTTAATGCTGTTGCTTGCTGTCCTGTTTTTTGGGGGTTTTTTGCTACATAAAATGTGTTGGTCCTTTTTCTGGCAGGAAACATCTACCAGGATGTCCCTTGAAGCAGAGAGCAACCTGCCAATCACCCCAAGGTTGATTATGCTTGGTAAGAAGTCATTTATGAAATAGAGCTGATTAGACCATATTAAAATTTCTGTTTGGCACAGGAGCTTTTTGTGGACACAGGTATCCAGTCTCTTTTTTGTTAGCTCAAATTTCTGTAATTTCCTTTATAAACCAAGGTTGTTGGACATGTGTCTCAGTGAATCCAGCAAAGTAACAATATCAAATTTCACATTACATATTACTGATCAGCATGGTAGTCTAGCTACACCAACAGCAGAAATACTGAAGTCAATACTGTGAAGTTTAACAGCAGCACAAACTATAAACTCCAAAATAACCATACAGTTGATGCAACTCCGGTAATCCGGTAATTTAATTGGGCTGACTCTTTGTTAGGTGTGTTTAATGGGCAGAATAATTCCCAATTATTTACAATCATAATATGTTAAAACAGACTTATGTACATAAGGCCATTAATAATTAACCGTATGTAGCTATTTGCTTTATGACTATCTAGACAGTGTGAAGAAGTGAAGTATTGAAATTATTTTATGTTGCATAATGACAACGTGTCGCCCCTATAAATTTAAGGACAAAGTTCAATGACCGCCACCTGCTGGATGGTGAGTGCAGAGAGGTGTGTAGTTGTTGAGCTGGACAAAGAGAACACCTTTGCTGACGCAATGTCAGTCTTCTTTGGTTCACTCTATGTATTGAGGCTGGAATACCAGGAGTCAGCGTGTGCAACATTGGAACTAATTCAGAGGTATGTTTGAACAGTTAGCTAATAGTGATAGATGATGAATAAATTACCCCCAAGTAACTCATTATGTTATGTTAAGAAAATAAATATATATTCTTAATGCTTATTTGTCACGGGCTGGGGCAAGGTCACAGGCTTACAGGAAACTGCATGTTTTTGCAGAATATGAGGAACAGACAGAGAGTGAAACTAAGATCAGACGAGGGGTGACAGGTTGCCCTGGCAACAGACCTCAGAAAGGGGAAGTTATTGCAAGCTGAACAGGAAGTAAGACACAAAGAAAAGAGGAACTGAGTAGAAGGAGTTTGTTTGTAATGAAACTGTGTGTGTCACGTGTGATGTGCGTGACATCTGAATTTATTTCATTTATTATGGCAAGCTTTAAGGTTTTTTGTAAGAATAAGCCCTGAAGAGGGAACAAAATGTACCTCCAAGGTTGGGACAAGCAGAAAGACTGGGACCACTGTGAAGCGAAAGGTTGTTCACTTTAACCCTCATATCACAACTTTCCTCCGGCGGCTTGTTGAATTTGAGTGGAAAACTTCAAATTAGGTCACTGTTTTTGCCATTTATAGTGAGTTTCTTGTATAATTTAAGTGAAGAATGTGTTGTTACCTTTGTCTCCACAGGCGATGCGTGGCCCATGCTTTCTGGACATTTACACAATGCAAACAACAATGAAGACAAGCTCTCTCACCATTTGCAAGAAGTGGTCTCTGTCCAATAGATTTTTTTGAGTGCAACAGTTTTGGGTTTTTTTCCCTTATTTTACCCGTTTGTTAAAAAGTATTTCAGCTACTTACACTTTAATTGTCACATGTATTGGCTCACCATACAAGTCAATGACTCTAGTGTTGGGAACTCCAACACAAACACAAACTGCAAAACAGGTACAAAAACTGAAATAACAGAAAACACTGCAAACCACAACACAATTAAATATAAATTAAAATATGCAAAACAAAAAGAAGATGCACATTCTCTGTCATATAGGCCTTGGATGATTCTTTGGGAGTGTTTTCCTGCTTGGAATTGCATACATAGGATCCACTGCATGAATAAACTTTCTGAATCCTTTATAATCGTCAACTGAAATAGTTGTGGATGATTACTATACCTTCCTGATATGACATTGTTGTCCCTGGCTCTCTTTTTCTCTCTTTCCCTCCCACTCTGTTCCTGTGCTACTGTGAGTGTAACTACCGCCCCTCCCCCCTCTGCTCAGCGCAAGCACAATGCTTGCGTGCAGAGTGAAGGAAAAAGAAAGTGAGAGAAAGAGAAAAAAAAGCCATGGCTTCCAATGAGGAGCTTATGGTGCACTTCAAAGAGCTGTTTCGTTCGCGACTGACACATCACTAATGAACTCAGTCCACAAAGCAAGGTCAGGGTGCAGGTCAGTCAAGTTCCTTCACACCACACATGCTCATCCATGTCCTTGTGGACCCTGCTTTGTGCATTGATTTGGTGGTGTGAGCCAGTATTTTGGACACAGTATAGAAAAAGGCATGGGGCTTGATATTCTATTCATTTCAATTCAGTTTATTTGCATGGTGACATGGCAACAAAATGAATGCCAAGGCACTTCACAGTGTAGCTTTAAGACCCTACAAAATATAACTAAGAAAACTCAACACTTGAGCATATGTTGTCTGTCATGATATGGATATGACATAATATCATTATTGTTTGTAGAACCATCTGAGAAAATACATGTATTACATGGTTCAGTAAAAACAAGTTTAGTAAAAACAAGTGCTTCCTCAATGAACATATGTTTTCAGTTCTTTTTAGCTGCTGATTTTGGAAATGTGTATTTCTGCAGAGAAAAAACAGAACTGAAATAAAAAGTGGTGTAAAGCACATTAATTATATTTTGTGTGTGTGTGTATGTTCATATATTTTTTTTTTGTAATTTTTTTTTGAAACCCTCCAGTCTCTTACAGTATGTTACTGTTTCCTGATAGTACGTTAAATTATGACGCGTCAAACAGTAAATGACCGCCTGTAAGAACACGGTACTGATAATGCGTGATAAAGGCAAGTTACCGGTAAATATATTGCAGTTTATTACCTTGAAGCGGGCTTACAGTGACCCAGCGTGAATAAACGGTAGTATACCAATTTATTAATCACACATGTTACTTTGTTGACGTTATTTACAAAAAAAAGACGAAACGGTATCTCACTGGTACCGTAAAAGAGGCTACAGTAGGATAGATAGATAGATAGATAGATAGATAGATAGATAGATAGATAGATAGATAGATAGATAGATCTTTCGGTTGAATTTTATCTAAGCCATAGACAGTGACTTTGAACAGTGGCTGGTGAAGCCAAGAATGGAAAGTTTATTAATAATGGCTTCATACATTTACATAAAGCAGTACTGGATAGCACATTCACTAATCAATACCATGCAAATGGATTTATATCGTGATTTTAACTACTGGCATACAGAGAAGTTGCATTTCCCTTAATTGCTCTTGACACATTAGATTTTAAACCAGAAACAGGAAACTTGTAAGGTGTACATGTTTATATGCAAGCTTCTCACAGGAAGTTACAGACAGAAATACTCCCATGACATTTTTTTTTAATTAATAAAATCACATTCTATATAGAATATTTCATATGTGATCATGACAACTGATAAACTGATAAATATAAATATTTTTTTCATACATTTTTATAGAAAGCAGTTGTGACTGAATTAACTCAGTTAAAGATCTGAAGAAAATTTACATTAATCCCCCATGTTTCAGTCAGAGGAGTGATCACTGTCTTGTTCATTAGCCAGTATGGCCTGAAACAACAAGATTCTTTGAAGCAGCTGAAACATGAAGGTCATGCTGTGAGTTAAAGCTGTTTCTTTTTTGTCATCACTCTGTTTCAGAATCTCCTCTGCTTTCTTCAACATTTCATCAGTGTAGTATGTTCCTTTATTTAGCTGAACCATTTGATCAACCTTGTTGATCAACTCAACCACCTGAGATCTGCTCTGATCATTATTATTAAAGACATGATACCTTTCACCGCACCTGTTTAACAAGGCTTTGAGTTTCTTGTCACTTCTATTCAAATAATTTTGTATGGTCATTCCATCTTGAGTCAATTTGTCACCATGAGTGAACAGGACAATCATGTAACTTGATGCCTTAGGTCCAAACAGCTTTTCCAAGGCATCCACGCAGTTTTGTTCTTCCTTTGTGAACCTGCCGATCTGAAGGACCAGTAGGAAGACATGAGGCCCAGGAGAGGACATGTGGATACATTTTGCAATCTCTTCCTTTATGGCATCTGCACTTTTGGATGTATCCAGAATGCCTGGTGTATCAATCACAGTGATCTTTCTGGAGCATTCTGAAATTCGATCTGATTCACAGGTCTCTGTCACTGACTCTGGACTCACTTCAGACAGAAAAGACTTTCTACCCACGATGGTATTGCCAACAGCACTCTTCCCAACACCAGTTTTGCCAATCATAACAATCCTCAGAGGAGGACCTGCAGAGAGAAATTGATTTTAAATTCCACGGAATATGACAAGAGTTGCATTTAACAGATAGCTAACAATTATTATTATTCACAGCTGTCTGAAAAGGAAGCTTAAAAAAAAGATCCAACTTCACCTTCTGGGATTGATTGGCTTTTGCCCATGTTGGTCTGATTGTGGCTTTTTCAGGAATGAAATGAAGAGCATTTAATTCCACTATTTTACAATTTACTATTTCACTGCGAAGCAGATGATAGCGCTCCGCCCATCTTGGAGGCGGACCTGTTCCCTCAGTATATATCTGCATGAGTCTCAAAGCTCTTTCAGAGATAGCTGAAACTTGAACACTCTCAGTTAATCATTAAGCAGGTGTTGAGATTAGTTTTGTCAAGCCTCCATGTAAGTTGCATCATGTCTTGTCAAGGGTCATCATATTTATACATTTTGTGTTAATATAAAACATCACAAAATAATTTTTTGAAATTCTTTATTCACAGAATCAGCTGTCAAGATGAGTTCTTCCAGTCATCAACGTAAGTAATTGATTTACTTATTTTTGTATTATTCTTTAAATTAATGTTCACCACATTTATAAAATGTTGTTTAATGCTAAACATGCTGAACATTAAATTATTTGAATACTTTATATACAAAAACGGGAACTTTGAATATTGGTTTGGAACTGATTTCAATAAAAATTTAACTTGAAAAATTTTTTATTTAATTTTTGCTTAATTAATTTTGAGTATTTATTTGCAGCTAAAGCTTTAACTTGATAAATATTTTTATTTTTCTTGACTGTTGCTTGTTTATTATTACTGTCTTTGGGGAAAATAAATATAATCAAATGAAGTAGAAAGGTTTTACATCAGCATTAGCACTTCAGATGACACCATGATATAACTAGGTAATTTTATTTTCATTTTATTATTTTCATTGGGTTGCCAACGTAACAAAACGAGTAAGAACTTACAAAAAATATTTTTATCACAATTTCTGTTTTAAATTTTTATTTAGATTTAATGAGTTTGTGCTCATTTTTGGACTCTAGTAACCGCTTTTGAGCTGAAAGTAATGATCAGAAGACCTTCCAATAGCAAGTACTTGATTTAAAATTCACACTTTAATGCCATTGTCAATAGCTACAACAGGGTCGGCAGTATTGTTTTCAAGTCATCAATTTGTGTGTGTAGACAGTCTGCATCTGTGTTTGGGAGTAAGTGTCCTTTGGCACATTTATGATTCTTGATGATTCCTAAGAATACTAAGAGTTTGAAACTTCATTTCTGCAGAAAACCCTGTGAAGTTTACTATCACTCTGTTTGGAACAAAGCGTGACTTAATGAACAAGATTGGATGTGCATTCCTCAATAACAATAATTTTGTTGAAATGGAGAACGACTTGGTCATTGGAGAGAATGAGTTATTAAGAATCATCATCATTCCTGATTTCTTCAAAGATGATTGCCCCTATCCAGACCAGCTGATTATTGACCTCATGGCACATTCTGATTCTGGAATTCATCTGTTCATAGTGGCAACAGAAAACCACGACGAAATAAGACATCAGATCTCTAGGCTTACAGAATTCTTTAATAAACCAGTCAATCAACAATTACTAACCATCATAGAAAACAACGAAAACTCCAGTATAATCCTTTGCTTGGAGAACCATCAGTTGTCTCTAGAAATGAACGAATTTGCTGATTATTGTTACTCCATATGTGAAAGCCATGAACCATTCCAGTCTCAAGACACAGACTACAGTAAAAAGGTTGTGGACAGAAGGAAAGCTGAACTGAAACGTAAAAGGTAAAGATTGTATTTTGTTTCTTTCTTTGTGTCACAAATAATTCTGTCTAAAAGTGTCTGTTAACCTCTAGTAACACAATGTCTTTGCTTCACCTTGTTCTCTGTCACTGTGTCTGCGTGAACAAAAGCACTCCACTAAGCAGCAAGATCATTGTCCATATGTTTTTACAGTTCTTGAATATTGCTCCTAAGTGGCATTTATGCTTCTTTTTTTTTACACAAATAGTTGCATAACACATTTTTGTTCCCACTTGCTCTTAAGTTAGTTGTAAGAAGCATTAGGTACATTGTGAGAATACATTTTTTGAACATTTGTATAGTTTTTTCTTAACATTGCATTAACAAATTCAGCCCTTTAGATTAAAACTTTGAAGGTGAAGCCTAATTTTTAAGGCCTCTAGGGAATTCAATTAAACTGTTGACCAGATGCGTTTTACCGGGAGAAAGTGTGGATATGCATATAAGATTTATTATCCTGGTAGGTGCACTTTTGGTAATGACATTTATTATTCACTGCTAAAAAGGTATGTAAAAATGTTCCCTGCAAAAATTCCCTGTCCATAGCGTTTTTGTTTATTGTGGAGAGGGTGATATTTGTGATATTTTATAATTTCTTTGTTGTCATTTGTTTTGACTTACAGTGCTAATAACAAATGTGCCAGGAACAAAAGGTCCCCTCTGTATAACCATGAGAACAAATGTAAGTTTCTTATTTATATATATCTGTTGGGGGACTCACTTTTTTGTGGTTATTCACATATGAAATTACAAACAAGAAAAAAGTGAAAAAATATATATACACCAAGTTAACCAGACAATCCATTTACTATACTTAAAGACACGTGTCATCAAAGTTTGATCTTTCAGTTGTCATAGACAAATGAGCAGAACTACTTGCACAACCTTATGCCGGAGTGTTGCAATACCTAAACTGAATGCATAATTGCATTGCAATTGCATAATTTAAATGTTACAGTGACATTGTGTGATGAAACATTTTGCAGATGTGACTAAATTTAAAACCCTTCAAAAGTGAATTTAAGACCAGTTAGTTCATTAGCAAATATGCATCTAAGACATTCTGAAACTTTAAGGATATTTGACAGGATCAGTGTTAGTCATTTGAGGACAATAAAGAGTTAATAAAATAAAGCTGTTTAAATGATAAACTGTAACAAATATGTGAATTAGAAAATTTATAAAATGAAGTGAGAAAGAAAATGGGATTATTCCATGATATAATTTTTGCAGTATCCATTTATTAATAAAATAATTCAGAGGTAGCTTAAAGCTCAGACACCATAGCTCCTCACTTACCGTATTTTCACGACCATAAGGTACACATAAAAGTCTTAGATTTTCTTCAAAAAGTGCGGCGCACCCTATAGTGCAGTGCGCCCTGTGTGTGTTGAAGGAGGACGTAGTAGAGAACACCCTGAGGAGGCTAAAGGGGGAAGTGTGGGCGTTGATTGTATATACAATTGCACATACCTGTATAAAAGAACAGGTATGTGCGTTATGCAGAACATCGTTGTTATGCTTATGAAGCACAGTTTAAACTGAAGGCCATCAGCTACACGGAGGAACACGGAAATCGAGCAGCCGCGAGAGAATTTAAGATTAATGAATTGATGGTTCGCAAGTGGAGGAAGCTGGAAAACAAGCTCCGACAGGTCAAGAAGACGCAGCTGAGTTTCCGCGGACATAAGGCGAGGTGGCCCGAGTTGGAGGAAAGACTCGAGCAATGGATCATCGAGCAAAGATCGAGTGGGAGAAGCGTTTCGACTTCACCATTCGACTAAAAGCAGTAACGCTAGCAGAAGAAATGAAAATTGAACATTTCCAAGGAGGTCCGTCTTGGTGCTTTCGTTTCATGAAACGGTGCCATTTTTCCCTCCGGAGCAGGACTACGGTAGCGCAGCAACTTCCAGCGGATTATAATGAAAAGCTGGCCATCTTCTGCTCCTACTGCAGCAAACACATCGCCGACAAACACATCCAGCCCAGCCACATCACTAACATGGACGAGGTGCCGCTCACTTTCGACATCCCGGTGAGTCACACTGTGTAGGGGACCAGCACGGTAGCGATACGCACAACGGGGCACGAAAAGTCTTCTTTTACTGTTGTGCTTGGCTGCCATGTTAATGGACAGAAACTGCCGCCTATGGTGATTTTTAAGAGAAAGACTTTGCCTAAAGAGAAGTTTCCAGCAGGAGTCACCATTAAGGCAAATGAAAAGGGCTGGATGGATGAGGAAATGATGAAAGAGTGGCTGAGGGAGGTGTATGTAAGGAGACCAGGTGGTTTTTTCCACGCATCACCATCGCTGTTGATCTGTGACTCTATGCATCTCACAGCCGATGTGAAAAAACAAGTGAAGCAAATGAACTGTGAGCTTGCTGTCATTCAGGAGGCCTGACAAAGGAACTCCAACCGCTGGACATCGGTGTGAACCGGCCGTTCAAAGTAAGGCTGCGAGCGGCGTGGGAGCGATGGATGACCGATGGAGACCACAGTTTCACTAAGAGTGGAAGGCAGCGCCGGGCGAGTTACGCCACAATTTGCGAATGGATTGTTGATGCTTGGGCTAACATGTCTGCTTGCACTGTTGTTCGAGCTTTCGCAAAAGCCGGCATTATTTCCGAGGAGCCGCACGGCACGGAAAGTGACTCTGACGGTGAAGAAAGTGAACCTGGAATGTTTGATGGAGATTTAGCGCAGCTGTTCAATTCAGACACAGAGGATGAGGACTTCGATGGGTTTGATTGATGACAATTACCAGTAATATAGATGTGAGTACTAAACTCAGTTTTGCTCCTGCTTTATTTTTAAATACACATACTTGTATGCGCCATATAATCAGGTGTGCCTTATGTGTGTGTTAAATACAGTAATGGCACACATAACTGAGACTGCGTCTTTTAGTACGGTGCGTCTTATGGTCGTGAAAATACGGTAATGTCTGACACTGTTTTGAGAAACTGCTGGTAACTGTAGATAAAATAACTAATTATTTGTTCTAACACTATATTCCAGTTCAGAGTGCCTCTGATGGAAGTGAAGATATATTTAACATCATTCTGCTGGGTAGCACTGGAACTGGAAAGAGTGCCTCAGCAAACACCATCGTGAATGCTGGAAAACACAACAGTTATGCAAATCAGCATTTTACATCTCAACCAAGCCCAGTACCAGTGACCACCAAGTGTGAGGAGAAAATAGTAGAGATGTTTGGAAAACATTTTAGAGTGGTCGACACCCCAGACTTCTTTTACGATGAGGAACATGTAAACCAGGCACAAGTATTGGAGTGTAAGAAGTACTGTCAGCCACGGCACTGCGTGGTATTACTTGTGATACAGCTGGGCAGGTTCACAGACGGTGAGAGAGGAATATTACCAAAGCTGGAGAAAAAGCTTGGCTGGACGATCAGGAATAACACAATCATCCTGTTTACACATGGAGAAGATTTGCAGGGCAGTGTAGATAAATTTATTAGTACACGGAGTCACCTCAAGTGCATTATTGACGCTTGTAGCAATCGTTACCATGTGTTCAAGAACACCACCAGCAACTCTAAACAAGTCACAGAACTCATCAAGAATTTTCCAGGGATGTTTCCTATTTCCACCGAAGAACTATCAGGTCAACGCTGCTGTTTGTGTTAACTGCAGCTAATATAAAGTGAATGTCTACATAAGACGAGTTGGAACCAGTTTGTGCAGTGTAGTAAATATAAATGAAATATACTAATGCTGGGTGTTCATACTATTGTTGTATAATTTAATGATATGCTATCTGTAATGTTTTTTTTTTAATGCTGTTTTATGCTCAAATTTCATGCCAACTGTTTGCCTCTGAATATGTTTTTTAAGCCTTTGGGGAAACATAAAGAACCTTTTGAAATGTACAAATCTGATTTAAAAAAGATATATATGTACATATATACATGCACTAAATCTGTAAGCTTGTTAATAAATGCACCATATATTATATAGAGAAAAAATGTCAACCAGTAAAATAACATTTGATAGCTAATCTTTTTGCATATGATGTTTATGCAAGGCAGTGTTCAAAGAGATCAAAAAGGCACTCCAGCAAATAATAAACTAAGCCACAATAAATGTTGTTGACTCAAATTAGTGAAATGTCTGGGTCAGTCTTCTACTTTTTTCTGCCACTGTTAATGTGTTCTGGTACAATTGGTTGTATTGAATTGCTGAATAATAATAAATGTATCATACATTTTGGTTGTAGTATATATATCTACAACCAATTGTAGATATATACAACAATTATTATATGTATATATCAGTACATATAATAATAATAATAATAATAATAATAATAATAATAATACAATTTATTTGTAGGCGCCTTTTAGACCCTCAAGGTCACCTTACAGTAACACGTAAGCAATACCATAAAAAACATAAGAAAAAATGTATATATAGAAAACATGGAAGATAAAATTTAGACATAAACAGTCATAAAAGTATAAAAGC